TGGATTGGACATATTTCATGTCTTTCCCTTTCTTTTAATATTGTACTGGTCTAATTGACTGTAATAAAGTTAATACAGTGTTCCACGGTCACAGGATCGCCATTTGCAGACTTCACAGCCGGCTTCCAACAAGCAGAGTCAATGGAGAAGCCGGCAGTAAAATCGCAAGTTGTGGTCACATGATGTCTCACTTAACAACTGTGTTGCTTAGCAACAGAGTTGCTGGTCCCAATTGTGGTTGTTAAGCAAGGACTGCCAGTATGGAGAAATATGCCCCAGGACTGGTTCTGACTACATATTGCACCAAGTACAAAGGAAGGTGAGCAAACTGCTGTGCTGGACAATTGTTTATACTGCATTAATAATAAAAATTATGACAGCTGCATTTTATTTAAAAAGAAATGCATTCATACCTTGTTCCCAAATCACTGAAAAGTCAGGAATGCTTACCTTTGGACCCACACGGCCTACTTTTCCTACAGAGCCAGATTCGCCTTTGATTCCTGGATTACCCTCCAATCAGAAGCACATATTGAAAGTTACTTTTTAAAGAAAATGGAATTCCTTACTTTTATTCATGGCACAAAACCGATCGCCTTTTTTTTTTTTCATCTACACAGCTAATGGACCTTCTGCCACAGATACTATTGGCAGCCAGCTAAATAGTTTTTGTGTTTTTTCTGTAATCGTATCCAAGTTTAAGCAATGTCTGCTAAATCACTATGCAGGGAGACACAGACATCGTACCTACTTATAAATGAAAGTGAAGTCATTTGTTTCTTTTTTAAAATGCCAACCCACATCTCATGAAACAATCCAGGCCCACAAGTTGTCTTTTGTGAAACTCGCTTATCCAAAGGAATGAAATTCCAGGGAGGAAGGGATTTTTTCCAGAGAAAAGTTGCAGTAGATTTGATAAAACCTGAAGATCTCAGGAGAAAAGGGTGAAGGAATGATGGTGGTAATTGGATGTACTTTTTCATTAATGAAAACCTTTCTACATCCCCACACATTTCTAACAGCAAGATGTATATCCAAGAACCTTATCTAGAATGCAAAAGGGGAACACTGGTATGATGTTTGCAGAAAGCAAAGAGCAAGAAACTGGGTATTGGGTTATTTTTGCTGTGTTCTTACCAATCATGGCCTTTGATTTATTATCTGATTTTCCTGAAAGGATTAAATGCTAAAGGAATGAGGAGAGGAGAGGAGAGGAGAGGAGAGGAGAGGAGAGGAAAGGAAAGGAAAGGAAAGGAAAGGAAAGGAAAGGAAAGGAAAGGAAAGG